ACAAACCCCCAAAACATGGTGCAGGTGCTCATATCTCGCACAGAGGCATGCGTGCATGCACCAGCCAGTGCGGCGCAGCATTCCTGGCGGTCATTGTGAATTCTGCATGGAACCCTAAAGCCTAAACCCTAAACCCTGAACCCTAAACCCTAAACCCTAAGCCCTAAACCCTAACTCGTCAGATCAGTCCGGGTTTGATAGCCCGGCTCATGAAGACTCCCATCTATAGTACTCCACAAGCTGAATCCGAACCTCAGACCAAACGCTGCAGTATCCTCAACCACGCAAAACCGGCACCCCAAACTACTAGACACAAAGATAAGCAGCCAAGGAACGGCCAAGGCAAAAAAACCTAAGCAGGTTGATCAAAATCGGAATCAGAGCTCACCTGTAAACACTCCACCACGTCGTTGAGGTTTAGAACTTATGAGAGTTTAGGTTTATGGCTTAGAACCTCTGAATTCCGAAACCCCACACCATAAACCCGAACCCGGCTGCAACCCCGCCTAAACCCTAAACCCCAAACCCCTAAACCCCTAAACCCCTAAACCCTATACACCCTAAACCTTAAACTCTAAACCCTAAACCTTAAACTCTAAACCCTAAACCCTAAACCCCGAAACCCCACCTACGTAGACCGACATCTGACCATGGTGGGCCAAGTTCTTCCAATGATCGGACCAGTGCCAAGCCTCGGAAAGTTTTGGGATTTAGGGTTTAAGGTTTAGGTGTTTAGGGTTTAGGGGTTTAGGTTTAGGGTTTAGGGGGTTTGGAAATTTGGGGTTTAGGGTTTAGGCTTTAGCTTTGTCCTGGGTTCTTGTTAAGGAGCTAGGGATCTACAGGGGCTCCGTTAAGGGATCGATAAGGGTTCCTTTAAGGCAACTATACGGATTCCTTGAAGGGATCTATAAGGGTTCCTTCACCGGATCTATAACGGCTCCTTTCACGGATCTATAAGGGTTCCTTTAAGGGATCTATAAGGCTTCCTAACAAAACAACAGGTTCTGGTAGGTTAGGGTAGAGTCTATGTTATGGGCTTACGGTTTCTTTGGTGGGATTTCGACCTTCAAAAACAGACGGGCAGCAAGATGAGTTGGGCTGAGGGTGTAGACTTTAGAATTTGGGTTAAGGGTTTCGGTAGGTTCTGAGAGTTTGGGCTTTAGGTTTAAAGGTGTATGTAGAATTCTGGGTTTTGGGGTGTAGTGTTTAGCGGCCCATGCCAGCTGAGACGTGACAGCACTGCTCGGGGCGGGTACAGTACAGCCTGTCAGGCAAGTCATTTAGGGTTTGGTGTTTTGGGGCTCAAACCCTAAGCTCGGGTGTTTTAAACCCTGAACCCTGAACCCTGAACCCCGAACTCTCGAAACCTAAGCTCGGGTGCTTGGGGGCTCGAACCCAAAGCTCCCAACCTAAGTGACGGGTTTAGGTTTTAGGACTCGGGGCTGAATCTCTAAACCATCATACAGCTGATGGACAAAATCCTTCATGACCCTAAGGACTCGAAGCTATGGGAACCATGGTATATTCCTTATAATGGGTAATGCAGGGTTTTGTCCATCAACAGTACCTTTGATACCTCTGAGACACACGAAAAAGGCGAAGCCTTAAACCCAAAAGCCTAAGCCCTATTCCCTAAGCATTAGACCCTAAACCTTAACCCCGAACCCCTAGACCCAAGCCCAAACCCCAAACCTTAAAGCCAAACCCCAAATCCTGACCGAACCCCTCGAAGGCTTCAGGAGGATATCTTGGCCAGGGGCCGCGTGGAGGCCCACGGCAAAGAGGTACAGCCAGCAGACCTGGGAGGTCTTCCAAACTAGCACCGTAAAGTATAGTATGGCATATGACAATAGTATCTTATCTTCGAACCTTAATCCCGTAAAAGATTCCAAAACAGCCCTTCAACCCTCAAACCCTTCAAAATCCAAAATCGCATGAACTGAACCCTAAACCCTGAAACCCCTAAACCCTAAACCCTTCATAGAAGCCTTATAGATCCCTTTGAGGAACTCGAAAAGAACCCTAGAAGATTCCTTAAAGGAACCCTAAACCCTTTCGACAGTCCCAGACCTTCGCTTGCTAGTGCCTGGCCTGCTGCAGTCGCAGCCAGGCTTCGGATGCCTGCAACTGCTTTGGGGTTTTAGTGCTTTAGGGTTTTAGGGTTTAGGGTTAAGGGGTTCTATAAGAGCTCGTTTAAAGGGATCTATAAGGGGTTTAGGGTTGTAGGGTTAAGGGTTTAGGGTTAAGGGGTTCAGGGTTTAGGATTTGGGGCTTAGGGTTAAGGGGTTCAGGGTTTAGTGTTTTGGGTTCAGGGTTTTGGGTTGAGGGCTGAGGGTTTGGGACTTCAGCGTTTTAGGGTTTAGGAAAGTTTAGGGTTGGGTAAATTCTACACAGCCCTACTGCAGCTATGATAAGGAATAATCCAGGCTTCTGCATTAGGTCGTTCAGGGCGTATGCTTTAGGGTTGCAAGCCTTGGGTTCAGGGTTTTGGGGGTTTGGGGGGTTTAGGGCCTGAAATGTAAAAGACTTCTTGAGTTTAGATGTGAGTCAGTGAGCAAAATACACCAACGGCACCCAGTCCTCCCCCACCACAAACTCCAAAACCCCGCAATTGAGGAATATTCCTTAAACCATCATAGGAACTAATAAGAAGTAGGAAGTTTATTGCTTAATTAATTCTCATAAGAGTTTCCGGAGTCTCTGAGCCTAAAGGCCGCGCAACCACGCACCCTGTCCCTGTCCCCCCGCCCCGTCCTTGTCTTGCCGAAGGCCTCCCAGAAACTCACACCACGCCTCTGCAGAACGCATCCGCTTGCAGGTCTTAAAGCTTTTCCCAAACCCTAAACCCTAAACCCTAAACCCTAAACCCTAAACCCTACACCCTAAACCCTAAACCCATACCCGGGTTTAGGGTTTAGGGCGGGAGGATCCCAAAAGTAGATAAAAGTAGATCTCCTAATCTGGGATCCTGGCTACTGATGGGTATTTTAAAGGAACACCCTTTAAGGGATCGACTTTTGGGATCCTTCCGGTGGTCTGGGTTTTGGGCTTTAACAAATGGACTAGGCATCGGTTTGGGGTTTACGGTCAAGTAAGAGTAGCGTAGGCTAGGTGGGGATGGGGCATCTAAGGTCGCGAAGCATCGAGATGTGAATTTCTTGCTCCAAACCCAAACCAAAGAAGGCGAAACCCTTCAAGCGCAAACCTAAACTGTGAACGCTAAAACTCGCGACTTGCGAACCCGAAAGCGGAAAACCACACAAGGAAGGGGATTGCATCCCTAAACCCTAAACCCTAAACCGTGCCGACCTTCACCCTAGATCCCTCTTTAGCCCCGAATCCCCCTGAACCCCCCGAAGGCCAAACTCCCTCACCCTACTCCCGAAATCCTGAGCCCCTCCTCCGAAACCCCTAAGACCATAAACCACAAAGGGCTTAGGGTTTAGGGTTTAGGGATCAGGGCTTAGGGTTTGGTGATAAGGGTTTAGGGTGTAGGGAGGAACCCAAAACCTCTCCCATACTTGCCTTGCTCATCTCCCGAAGGGATGCAAGGCGAGCAGCCGGGAAGCGAGGGGGCTCTTGCGACCCTACTAATATAGGGGGCCTTAGTACTTAGAATAGGGTTCCTTTAAGAAGGTTCCTTAAAGGGGGATCTATAGTATGGTTCTACAGTATAGGGACTTTACTTTAATACTTGGTATAGGGTTTTGCGTGTACATTATACAATGAGGAACCCCCAAGATAACATTGGTAAGTATTTAGATCCCTATATTACGGATTTTTGCATATAGCCTGTAGGGCTTAGGTTTAACATCGGCTTAGCTGCCGACCTGCCATACAGTCTGTAGGGTTTGGCCTAAGGCTTGGGCGCAGAGTTCAGGTGTCCGTTTGGGGCTCAAGGTTTAGAGTTCTAGTGCGTCTTGCGGGTTTGTTGCTTTCAGGATTGCTCAGCGTTCCGTCTTGGCCCAAACCCTAAACCCTAAACTCTCAACCCTAAACCCTAACACCATTAAGTCCTAACCAAATCCCTACCCTAAACCCTAATCCCTAAACCCTAAACCCTAAACCCTAATCCCTAAACCCTAAACCCTGAACCCTAAACATTTCATGTACCCCTTGGGGCTCTGCAAGCCCTCTTGGGCCGGTCCTACTCGAGGCTTCGGGCCCTGGCACCGCAGCTGGGGGGGGGGGGCTAAGGACTCAGGGCTTAGGGTTAAAGGGTTTAAGGGTTTGGGGATTAGGGATTAGGGTTTGAGGATTAGGGTTCAGGGTTCAGGGTTAAATGGTTTCAGGGTTAGGGTTTAGGGATTAGGGTTTAGGGATTAGGGTTAAGGGTTCAGGGATTCGGGTTTAGGGATTAGGGTTTAGGGTTTAGGGATTAGGGTTTGAGGATTAGGGTTTGGGGATTAGCGATTAGGGTTGGAGGATTAGGGATTAGGGTTTGGGGATTCGGGTTTAGGGATTAGAGTTTAGGGTTTACGGTTGGTGTGGTTAGGGTTTGGGGCTTAGGTCTGAGGGGCTTAGGGGAGTATATTTAGGTGTTGGAGCATCTTTCATCAAGCAATCAATCTGTGATCATACGGTCTCATGGGACAAGTGTTCCAACCTAGTCAAACTAGTCAACGTGTATGGCTTGGGTTTAGGGCTTGGGGCATAGGTCCTAGGCTTCTTCTTCAGGCCCCGATATTGGAACTCCTGGGATTTTTGGCTTAAGGTTTCGGGTCTAGGATTCAGGGATTGGATGTAAGGCATAGGGTGTAAGATTGAAGGTATAGGATTTCCGGCACTCACTGCGGTAGTAGGAATCAGGGTTGATGCTTTCGGTGTACGATTCGGGTTAAGACTTGCAGGGCGGCAGTCGGGTTTCAGAACGAGGGTGTAGGGAGACTTTCAAAAGACCTAAACTGACCTCGCCCAAAGCAATAGCAGGAAAGACAAGTCCACACTGACTTGAACATGGCAGCAATGCCACAACCACAACCGTGCTACTGCTGGCGCACTGCGACTGGTACATGGGCTGCCCATGCGTTTGGAAAGCCATGGCGCTGGCAGCGACGGAGGACACCCCAAAACCTCGAAAGCCTCCGAAACCCTTGAAATTTGGCTTCTTGTAGTCCTCCCCGTCTTGAGTCTCTGTCATTATTACTCTGGCGGGTCTGGAAGTTCGACGTCAGGAACTCTACTGTCTTAGAGCATTTCCGGCGTGTCTCTTCGGCTATGAACACCAAAACAATTAGTCCATGTCCCGGCACATATGGGAGTATGAATCCTGCAACGGGGAAAAGAGGAGTCAGAGCAGGGGCCCTTCCTCGGATACACGATCCGGGTCCCTCATACCCCCAAACCCCTAAAACACTAGGCTAGAGTAACCCCGGCGGAAAACCCATGGAGTATGAAACTGCTGAAGTGACGGCGGCGACACGGAATCGGTGGTGAGGTGTTCGGCTTCACGCTTTAGGGAACCGGGTTTAAGTAGCGGCATCGAGAACAACAGAAGCAAGGCCCTATAAACCCCCAGCACGTACAAAGAATCACTATGAAGACCTTAAAACCTTAAAAACACAAAGCCTATATACCCCTGAAGGCCTGCAAAAACCCGTATGAAGATCCTCCAAATCAAGAGCCTTACCTTTAAAGGAACCCTAAAACCCTACAGAGCCCGTTAAAGGAACCCGAAAACCCTACAGAAGCCGTTAAAGGATCTCTAAACACCCGCAGCCGCGGCCCTTTCGGCCCCTTCGCATTGGGGGTTCGTTTTTTTTTGGAGGGCCTTTTTCCGTCTGCAGTACAGTCGGAGAGCTCCAATGGAGCAGGCAACTTACTAACCCCTTTACGGTTTAGGGTTTAGGGTTTAAGGTTTAGGGAAAAACCGTTTAAGTTGAAGGAACCCTAAAACCCTGCAGGCTGTTAAGCTCCTTGGCAAGCGCCTACTTCCAAGCCTAAGTTTAGGACTCTTGGTGAAACCCAGCGCTATACTAGAATTCCTCCAACCCCACTGAAACCCTAATTCTTGGCCTTGCAAGCAAAAACTTTCCACAAACACCCAAAACCAGAAAAACCCGCAGACAACAAAACCCCTCAAACCCTCAAACCCTCGCACGCAAACATCAAAAGTTCAAAAAGTCAAAATCGCAATATTAACTTAGCCCAAACACGGCCCCAACACCCGCCCAGAAAAACTAAGTTTACAGAACTGACCCCTCTACCAGCTGCCTCAGCCTCGCATTTCCTCAACCGCTGCCTAAGCCTCAGATTTCAGCCCTCGAGGAGGAGAGGGTATAGTAGGGGGAAACTATACTGAACTTAGAACCCTAGCAGAAATTATAATTTTAGCTGTTTCTTAGGGATTATAAGAACCAACAATTAAAAATCATTTCTAAGTACCCATAAGGAAAAGAGAAACATACCTGCACATCGTTTCTATGGCTTAGGGTTTAGGGTTGTTTTCTTTTTTGAAGATCCCCGTGAAAGGAGACAACCAACCGAGAAGGCCGAAAGACGACGAAGCTGACCCAGAGCCGTTCTTCTGCACGGCAATAATTAGGGTTTAGGATTTAGGGTTTAGGGTTTAGGGTTTCAATGAACAGGAAAGCACTTACTTGGGATGTATCCCTCATATGGGTGGTTGTTAAAAAATTATGGTCCCTTTTGGGTACCTATTATAATGCGGCACCTATTATTTAGGGTACCCAACAAGGAGACCTTAATTTTGACAACTACCCATATGGAAACTTGGACAAAATAACTTTGCAAAACTCTACACAAACCGATCCCGTCCTTGCAACACTGCAGAACCCTTCAACCGATTCCGAGCTGAAGATGTAGTGTAGCTTAGGAGTCTGTGCAGGATATGGAGTTTATGGATTTAGGGGCTTAGGCTTGGGATTCTTGAGCTCGGGCTTAGAACTTGGGTTTAGGGCTTTGGGGTATTTGGCTCCTGGCTTGCGGTTTGATTGCGGATTTCGGGTTTTTAGTTTGGGGCTTAGGGTTCGTGGGTTTAGGGTTTTGCGGTTGAAGCTCATTCCGAATGTGATCCCGGACATCCCCAAACCTGTCACTCTACACCCATCTGCTGTTTTCGCACGTTTGCTTGGTTCTCCGCAGCTCAGAACAATCAAAGCAATGGCTGCGTCGGATCTCACTCAAAGTGAGTCCTGCTGCCACTCATGAGTGCTAGCACCTATAGGGGACCTCAAGCGGTCTGCTCGTGCTGCGAAGGGGAAAACGGACGCGAGTCCAGTAGCACTGCAAGACCACTGCTGCATTGTATACAGCGGCTGCTATCGTCATTCGTACTCAGCCCTCAATAATACTAATATCAAAAGCTTGTTCTAATTGTCATGCCTATTGGACATTCATTGCTGCCAGCAGCAGCACCGCTTGCCATACTATGACTATTATGACTAGCACTACGATTACTAATGCACTTGCTTTTGGCATTGCTTTAAGCTTCACAACGAAGCTGTTAAACTATATAAGACCGACTGTGACTACAACTTCTGTCAGTATTCCTAAATGTCACGTCAGAATTGTCGTACTAGCACTACTACCATGAACCCTGGCATAGCTGTGTCCGTCTATCTTTCCCCACCTGAATGCCCTTAAACGCTAACCCTGAACCTCAGTCAATATTTCGAAATGGCCCCGGATCCTAGTTACAACGACCCGAACGGGGTCGTAATATGATCCGCATACAGAATCCTATCCCTTCACCTGCCATCCTTGATGCCAGCCCAAACCCCAAAACAAAACGCAAGCCCTTAACGCTAACGCAGCTCAAAGAGAATTCGATAATGTAGGTGCCTTATATAATGATTAGAATTGGGATTGGGGGCCCATCCTACTAGAATTCTCATAAGGAACCACCAAAATAGTATGGGTAATTATTTCAGCCCATATAGAAACTCTTGCGCCCCTTTTGGCCGGAGGCCTCAACTGGAACCCTAATGGTTTAGGGTTTAGGGGTTAAGGGGCTCCATAAGAGCTCCTTTAAAGGGATCATCAAGGGCTCTATGAGGGGTTTAGAGTTGGTTTAAGGGTTTAGGGTTTAGGGTTCAGTTGAGGGTTAGGGGTATACCTGAGACCAACATGAGAACTTTGTAGCACCCTGTTTTCCTTTAAGGCAGCACGTGGGATTTGCGCTGTCTCCAACAACGATGTCGCATTGTGCATTGTCACGGGGGCGGGGATGCAGGACTTACCCTTCAGGCAACTTAACGACGAGGATGTTGGACTTAGGGTTTACTGGGTTCCCATAATAAGGACACCATATTGTTTTACTATAGATCCCGGTTATGTTAAAATTTCAAGTGAACTCCTTAACAAGAACCCAGTGTCGGGCCTGCAAGTTCTTTACACTTCTGGAGCTTCACATTGTTCTCTGTTTCGGCTTGACGAGGTTTTCAAGAAGAAGGGCCCATGCTTTAGGGCTTAGGGCGGGTTTAAGGGTTTAGGGTTTAGGGAACCTTCCAAAAGCTAGCAAAAGCATCCACCAACGGCCGGAGAGCTGCCTTTCCCCGCTCCCTCGTGGCTACAAAGCTGCTGAGATTCAGGAAAGCGGCACAGTCAAACGGAGTCTCCGAAACCCTGCTTGTAACAAAACCTTAAACCAGTAAGACTCCAAAGCTTTACGAAATCACGATGTAAGATCTGAGACAAAGCTACTGCACTAAATCTAGGAGCGTTTTCCCTTGACTCAGCTCCAAACCTGAGCTTTGAAGTAACTGGGGCGAAAAAAGTATAAACTGTTATTTAATACGGCTGATGATATAAATCTTGCATTACCTTAAGGACCCTAAACTATGGGAATTATGGCATATTCCTCATTATGGGTAATGCAGGACTTATATCATCAACAGTAATGGTTCCCTTTAAGTAATAGGTCCCCCAAAACTAGGTGGGGCTTTTAAAGCTTTTGAAAAATATTAGTAAGCAAGATCCTCTTAAACCCAATAAGGGGAAATATAAAATGTCCCAAAGCCCTACCTAGAAAAAGGATTCAAGTTTGGTACTCCAAAGCCCAGAAGCCCTGCGCCTAAATCTCCTGGTGGAACCCAAGGGTCTCCTGTCTCAATACCACGATGTCGCAGGACGCAAATCAAACTCAAGACCTACAGGGAACTCCAGAAAGTTGGAATATGGTTTCAGGGTAGGATCCCCTATAATTTACTTTAAAGGCGTTACGATAATGATATTCCAACTTTCTGGCTTCTACTGTATACTTAGAGGATCATGGGACATAGTACTTAGGCTGATAAGTAGACATAAGTTTGGTTACCCTAATTATAAGCCTAGTTACTAAGTCCCATGACCCTTTCAGTAACAATCCGCGGCCCTAGCCTAAAATTCCTTAGCCCCTTAAACCCTCAATCCTACAGCGGAAACATCAACTCCATACTTCAACCTAGACCCATGTGGTTCGGGGATCTAGGCTAAACGCTGGACCTAAACCCATCCTAATCCCCTAAACTCGAAACCGCTAAACCTAAACCCGGAACGCCTAGAATCCTACACTACACCATACATCCCAAATCCTAAACCCCTAAACCCTGAAGACCTGAACCCCAAAACCCCAAAACCCCAAAGCCCTAGGCCCTAAGTCGTCACGGTGTGAAGCTTCGGAATGGTTCAGGCTTTTGTGGTTTTGAGGTGTTAGGTTTTGGGACTTGAGGGTTTTAGGGCTTACTCTTTTTCTGTGCTTCTGTGATTCGGGGTTTAGGCTTTTAAGGTCTAGGGTCTTTCTGTTTAAGGTTTCGGCCCGATTCCTTAGTCTTCTTCTTGGCAACCCCTGAAAAAGCCCTCTTGGACCCAGTACACAAAAGAAGTTTCTCCTAAAAGCCACTTTCACTTTATGCTTTGAGACAAGACTAGCTTCCTAACCTTTTGGTGTGTAACCCCAAACCTTAATCCTAAACTCTAAACCCTCAACTCAAGACCCTGAACCCCAAACTCTGAAATCCCGCACCATAAATCCTAAACCCTATACTGAACTTAGAACCCTAGCAAAAATTATAATTTTAGCTGTTTCTTAGGGATTATAAT